CTATTCATAACTGGTGCTCTGAAGCACCTCAACCAATGGTTTTCAACCTGTGGTCCACAGACCCCTGGGGGTCTGCAGACTATGTCTAAGGGGTCTGCGAAAGATGACTGTGATCAATCAAAAGTATGTGAATACCCACACTTACAATTCAAAGGGGTCTGCACCTCCATTTGACCTTTTTTAGGGGCCTGCAAATGAAAAAAGATTAAAAACCACTGACCTAAACTCTTGCTAAGGCTCTGAAGAAGCCTTTGCTGGTAGGTGGACAAAATGACACCTAACTCATGCTGAGTTTTACCAAAGGGTAGAGATTCTCACTCCTTATGCCCAACAGCTCACTGGTTAAAGCACTCATCCAGAAACTAGGAATCCTGATTTCAAGACCCTCCTCACCCTGATGAGATTTAATCCTATGTCTTCTACTTCCTAGGAGAGTGCTCTAACCACCAGGCCATAAGGCTAGGCTGGGTAGGGCCCTTCCCGACTCCCGTTGAACCTGGGTCAGCAGGCAGCCAACAATACAAGATGCATGGGACCAGAAGGAGATCAAACAAAAGGGAGTATGACCCTGTAGCCTAGTGGTTCTGACACTGCCTTGGGAGTCAGGAGTCCTAGGTTGACTAAGGCAATGTATCATTACTATCTTGTATTGAGTTGCATGCATGGTCTCAGCACTAAATAGGTTCTATGTGCCAGTTCTGTCCTGTCTGAGGAAGCTGGGACTTGGGCAGACTTAAATACCTGTACAAAATTACTTGGATTGCAACAGAAGTTCTCAGCATGAACAGCAGCCGGAGTATAGGTGCTGAAGGGCCTTTTCAGTTACCCAGTGAATGTAGGGGTGACTAGTTTTGAGCAGAGTCATTTTGGATCGCTCTTTGAGGCTCTGGTGTCTCAGTTCTGCCCAAGTCTTGTTTAAGTGCCTGAGAGGTTGACTGGGATTACTCGGCTCTGGGTAGAAAGGCCGAGCACAGGGCCCCAGGAGATGTTGGGGTGGCAGCCATGATAATAAAGCTCTCTCTTTCCAATCCACTCATTCCCTAGTAGTTTTGTTCCTCCTCCCTCCCCCTCCCCTAAAATCTCTTTTTTAAGAATCCCAACACCCCACACACTGGTTATTTTGTCCACCCATTTGGCCTAATTTCAAAATGCACCAATTTTGGTCCATTAAATTTCCAGGTCCATTTTCCTCTTGTTTATCACACAAGATTTCACCACAGCCCATGGGGACTATCTGTAGACCTTTTGTTGGGACTAATCAATCTTGCTGTCATTAACTTTTGCTGACTTTTTATACACAATTTTCTACAAGGTGACTTGCCCTTTTGTTATCTTGGACTACTTAAAATACAACAGTCCCTCTGTTTATGGCCTACATCCACTTAGCATATAATGCTAGCTCATAAATTACTGTTAGAAAACAAAATCTTTTTTTCTTCTCATTTTAATCATATCAGGAAAAAAAAGGACTTAGCTGTTCCTTAAGGTTGGCAAATTCCTTACCTCAAAATTGGGATTTGCAAATCTTGTTTGATTAGATGTTACAAACATAGCAGACCTCCCAGACTGTAACCAAGCTAAGAACTTACAACTCTCTGTATCTATATCTAAAATAAATCCAAAGCTGCTGCCATTCAATTTTTTGGTATGCTTTTAAAAAAATATCAGCTTGTATAATTTCTATGGTTGTATGCCCAGATGGATAAAGAGGAGAAAAAAATTAATATCCATCCCACCCACCCCAAACAACCAAGCAATGACCACCCCCCACCCCCCCAACACAACCACCCACCTTTCCTTCCTTTTTATAGGCTGTACATTAAGAGCCTCACATTTGAAAAAGCCCAGGACAGTTTTGTCTTCTATCTGTTGAGCTTGCTGCACGGATCAATATTTAGGCCACATAGCATTCTTACCCACATATATTGCCACCTTTTAAAAACGAAGCTTGATGTCTTTTAAAAGCCCTTTTGTGTCCTCAAGCCATTTGTAAGACTCAACAGGCAATAAAAATACATACTTTATCCCTGACAGACCTGGCTCCCTCATTTTGTTACTAGACTTAATATTAGATGTTAGGTAGTGGCACTGAATTCATAAGTGCTTGAACAAGAATAGTCCATTCTCTGAAGACAGCGTTTATTGAGTACAGCAATTTGCAATTTTAAGTACGCAACAAAGAACAACAGAAAAACTCTGCCTAAGTTAAGACACAGTCCAATACAACACAGTGACCAGGGTTCAAAATATGGGGGGTTCAGGGGGCTAAGCCTCCCCATAAGAAACAAGAGCCTCCTAAAAGCTCCCCCATAAGAGATAAGAGCCCCTGGTCTGCCCCAGACCTTTCTTAGCAGCTCAGGGGGTGGCAGCAGTGGCTCCTTCTGGCTGCCACCACTGCAGACCCCCACAAGAGTCCGAGTGTAATTTGAACCCTGACAGTGACAGTGCACACGACTTACTTAACATGAAACATACGCAGCCAAAAAGACAACAGAAAGTCTTGCATAGGTCTTATGCAGTCCTGAGTCTCTCCTTGCAGCCAGGTAATCAGAAAGTCTTTTGGAGGAGACCACTGGTGTTCTTAGGTGTAAGAAGGTCCCCGAGAAAGACTTTCTGAACAGCTGGCTGCAAGGAAACGCTCTGCTCTCAGGATTATGTAAGACTTATGCAAGGCTTTCTGTTGTCTTTTTGGCTTATTATGTTGCTTTTTAAATTAGGCTGAGTTGTGTGTGCTGTCACTGGGCACATCTACATATTCATTAATGTGCAGTGGTTACTGCGCATTTAATTTAGTACTTGTATAACCAAGTATTAAATAAATGCGCAGTAACCAGAGTTACTGCGTAGTAGCGCTGGTGAATGCCTTTTTAGTGACACTACTGTGCAGTAGCCTAATAAGACAGCACAGTGGTGTATTAGCACTGTCCGTGCTATTACATGCTACTGCGCAGAGTTATTTGGCTACTATGCAGTTAGTATCTTGTGTAGGTGCACTCACTGTGTCTTACTGGGCTCTTAGCTTAGGTGGAGTTTTTCCTTTGTTCTTTGTCACATACTTGAAATTGCAAATTGCTGTGCTCAATAGACGCTGTCTTCAGAGAACAGACTATTCTTGCTCAAACATTTATGAATTCAGTGCCACTACCTAATGTCTCCCTATCAGGCCAGGGCTCTCTTGGTTTACTATCTGGTACCATGTAAACCAGTACAGCGTATTCCATAGTCAGGTTGTTGGTGACTAACTCAGAACCCCCACCTGGGCTAGCCTGGGTGAGGAGGGTGTGTGGACACCCAGCAGGACTAAAAACAAGACCTGTCAAAGGGTGGATGAGCTCCTTGTGAGCCAATGGCCATCCATACCTGGAGAGGACATGAGCGCCACCAAGCCACTTTGCCCAAAGAATCACCAATGATGCAAAGCAATTCCAATAATCTCATACTGGATTGATCAGGGCCTGGGTCTACAATGACTGCATCCAAACACAGAGCAGAGTGGAAGAGAGTTGTTATAGTATCTAAGGTGCTCTAATGGTCACAGCAGCCTCAGGGCTAACTTGACCTTAAGTCTAATATTAAGTCTGGTAACAGTTTCACTGGCAACATTTATGAGGCCAACATGGCCATTATGCAAACATATTATGATGGTAATCTAGCCTGCAACTTTAGCATTGGGCGGTCTTTCACCCCCAACACAACAACGTCAAATAACTCGATGCAAAACCAAAGCAATCACAAAAACAATTGATTCCACACTTCCCTTTTAGGAGATTTTGAAACTCTGTTCAAAGTCAGTACAGCAGCAGCCTAGAATTAAGCTGGCATCCTGACAAAAGCAGCATTTATAAATGTCTGCTTTAGCAATAGTTTAAAACATTAGTTTTTTACCACTGCTCCCTTTCAGCCCCTTTCAGAGAACATTTACAGCTCACCAACAAAACCTACAAACCTCAAAATAAGAGAGACAAAGAAACAAAGCATTTGTTGAAAGGTTAACACAAGAATAACTATACAAACAAAATAATTAAAACATCTCCAATGTTTGAAGCAAGAACATTAAGAAGTTTGTATTATGTATTTGGCCTAACATATACAAGGATTTTAAAACAAACTTGTTTCTCAAACCAATTAAACACAATTGCTTATTTTCTAAGCTTATAAATTACTACAATGTACATTAAGCCTTGTATTTGTTCATGGCTTACCAAGTCATGCCTCTATCTGGATGGTTCACTAGACTATGCTGTGTTAATTTTGATTAAATAAACAGGCCTAGAAAGTACAAGTGTTAATAAACCTTTGACACTGTATAATGCTAAGCATTTGGAGAAAGTTTGGTTTCAGAGTACAGAGATCTCAGCCTGCTTCAACTCATGGCAACAATCCCTGTTAGAATCACTTTAATCTTTTACTAGACACAGAACAAAACCAACAGCAACTACAAAAGTTAAAGCATTTAAGATATGAAGTATGAAGTAAATCTTTAATTTTAACAATATCCTTTAATTCCTTTCTCTTTTGGCTACAGAGTATCTTTCTTTTTTTTATATAAAAAAACGCCACCTGAGAGTATTTTAGATGGTATCAAAAGTGGCTATAACTATCCTTTGGGGAGAAAATAGTAACTGGAACACTGAACTTTTTGTTGTTATTAAAACCTGATCCCATTTTCGTTAAGCCAAAAGAAGACAAACACGTAGAAGGGGACAAAAACAGGACAGAGATAGAAAATGCAGTTTGTGCTACTGGTGTTGACCATTTTTGCAACTTTGCTGCTGGAGAAAAAATGACACCACTTAGTCTTAAACTTTCCAGGTTCTGGCAAACTTGTACCATTGGTGGGCAGCTTCTAAGCTGCTTCTCTGGTCAGCAGTTGCAAAAAAGACAGTCTTTAACAGATAGCCTAACTCACAGAAAGAAGACAGAGAGGAGAAGAGAGGACATAAAGTAGGGAAGGATGAGGGAACCTGAAGAGGGAGTAAAGGCAGGAGCCTAAGACTCACATTCAGGTAGTGTTCAGGATGTAGCCAATTTAGGCAAGGTAGCCGTTGTCATCTGGTTTCCTTTCTTTGGCCCAGTCTAATCAGACCATTGCTCAGGATCAGGATGATAAAGGCCCATGAGTATCAGGCTAGAGTTTGGAGTCCCAGGAGACGATGGGGCTGGCTGCCATGGTGGTAAAGCTCACCCCTTCCTGTACTCAAGCCATTTTGATTCTCAAGGAGGGAAAAACAGCCCCTCCCTCCATTATTTTGTCCACCAGTTACATTTAATTTCCACCACACCAGCTCTGGTCTGTTCATTTCCAGGCCCATTCCCCTTTTGTTTATCACATATTATTTCATTGTTGCCCTTGGGTGGTATCACTGGAGCTGTTTGTTTGGGCTAATCCAGCCTTTCTGTCTTCAGCTTTTGCTGCTTTTTATAAACAATTTATGTAAGAGGCTCAGCTGGACTTTTCTTAACTTGGACAATTTAGTGTAAGTCAGCACTGCTGCTGATGCTGTGGCTGGAGGGTTGAATAAACACATCTGAGCTAGCTTTAAACCAGCTAGATTGGGGACTAAAAACAGTTTAGCCAGGGCCTCATGGAGCTCAGTGCGGGCTGCAAACCTTCCTGAGAAAGTGGGTGAAAGTGCAGGCTAGGAGCGCTTGCTTGACAGGAGAGGCTGGATGCACCCAGCTTTACAGAGCTAGAATGCGCTGTGGGGCCCTGGGCTTTCCCATTGCCGCAGGTTATGCTCTCATTACTGTACCTGACCAGAAGCCTGCTGTTTTCTCTTCCCCAGGTCTTGCTCTTCAGAAGGAGCAATTTGCTGACAGAGACCCAGGTGAGTTCTGTCTAGCCACCTAGCACAAGCCTTTCCAGGATGCAAGGCCGTACGAGAGACTCTACTATTTTGTCTGGGTCTGTAGATAAGTCATGAAGGCCTATGCAAAACAGCCACCCACTCCAAATTTTCCAGGACAGCCCCAAATTTCAGGGCTGTGCCTCAGCATTTCCCAAGTACTTCCTGAAATAGGACTCTCGTTCCAAATTTGCAGAATTGGTCCCAGTTGCATACAAGCGATGTCTTGCTGGGTCTGAAGAAAGGACTCAGTGCAGTGTTGTCTGGCACTCTGGGAACATGGCTGAGCTGTTTCCAGTCTGGGAGGTAGCCATGGGCTGTCATAAAATTTGCTCCGAGAAAGCTGGTTACTTAAGGCCTGCTGACATCTGACCTAAACATACTTAACCAGTTGCATGACATCAGGACACTACTGAGGGTGTGATGCATACACTGTCATCCAGTTTTCATGTTCACTGCAATTGTGGAACTGGCCCCAAGCCATTCAGCTTTTTACAGGTAGCCGGGCTGTACAACCTGGGCCCATTCAGTCATCTGGGCAATGTGAGCCCTGAATCTGCTTCACCCTCCCTCCTCTACTGGACATCACTGTTCTGAGTAACATGCCCAGGTGGGCAGTGCCCTAACTGCCAGAAACACCTAAAGAGGTTGGGAGCCCCAGGGTGGTCAGCCCTGCCCGGAGCGGGAGGAAACATGTAAAGCCCATACAGGCATTCTGTCCCTAAAGAACTGCAAAGGTCCCATCAGAGGAGGCCCCATCCCATGAGGCTGGAGAGGCTGGTGGCTCTGAGCTGGAACCGTTCCATTTTCTCCAGCCTCTGATGTCACCAGAGAAACTATGACACAGTAGTGAGCACGACCTGCCATGCAGATACTCCTCTAGCCTTGAGCCCATAAGGTTGATCAGTGCGGTCACCTCCCAGCCGTGCTGCTAGGAACACAGAACCTCTCAGGGCAATGGCCACAGAGCCCACCCTGCGAGCAGTTAAACTGAAGGCCCTGTCTTGTGCTCCTTTGGGTGTTGTGTGAGGAATTGGTGCAGCTGTAGGATAAGCTGGGGAGTTTCTCCTGACTGTGCATCAGGTTTGACTAGGTGCTTTGACTTTCTTGTTGACTTTTGACTTTTACAGATTACTTACCTCTGGGGGTCTTACTGATCCACTGACCCATGAGACACACCTGCTGGTCAATCCATTGTCTTGTAAGGATGGGTGGCTCAAGGTGTGAACAGCCAAGGTGCAGAGGTTTAAAGTAAGGCATTGCTCTGTGAAATGCAATAGAGACATGAAGGCAGGCAGTTACTGGGGGAAGAGGTGGGAACTTTGTCATCCAACGAGCAGAACATGGAGACATGGTGCATGGAGACTCTTATCTTTAGGCTCTGATTCAGACCTGGTCTGGGTGGCTGGAAAATGAAAACCTTGCCCACTGGGTAGCTGCAGAATGAATCTGGGGCTCAGTCTGCTACTGAGAACAAGTGCCTCTGTCACAAACCACCACAACCCTAGCTGGGCCCCTGGCTCTTTTAACTGCAAGGCAGAGGACCAAAACTGGCCACAGGAATGGCACACTCTGGGGCCCAGCAAAAGCAGGTTAAGGCCTGTCAGTGGCCAGTGAGGAGATGGAGAAGAAAGCTGCTCAGCGGCTGCCCATGTTGGATCTTTGCTATGGCTAAATTGAGGATCTTTGTCAGATCATTGCCTGGTTCCCACTAAAGCCTGGGTAGAATGATAATGCAAGGAGTGGAAACCGAGCTGGGTACTTGCTGCTTTCATTGCTTTGTGACTTTGCATCACTCTCAGTGCCTTTTGCTGGTAAAAATGGTGCTTCATATGGACAAGGGGGCAGAAGTAAGACCTGAGGCTGCTGCTTTGGCTTTCCATAAGGGGGAAGCAGTCTTCCCATCCCACTCCACCAAACCCTTCTTTTTCCACTGCACCTTCCCAAGGAATCAGGTACAGGGTATGAGTTAACCAGTACAATCCAGGGAATGGACAGCAGAAGGCAGGGTTTCCACAGCAAAAGCCTGGAGCATGGGGCTGTTGAGGTCTCTTGGCTGCAGCCTTGCCTTGGCTTTTCTCTGGTCTCTTTGAGCCTTTGTGTTTCTCCATAGTCTCATGCGCTAATTAAAAATGAGGTTGAGAGGTGCTTCCAAGGCTTCACAGTCCCTGATTACAAACTTGTCATAACTAGCTCCTGGGGATGAGGGTTATAGGGGCAGACAGGAGTGGGATGACAGTGAGATTTTCAAGCATTAGCTAAAAACGACATTGTCCTGGGAAAATGCGGAGGTTAAACGAGACACGACTGTTCAGGCTGAGCAGTTACTCTGTTTGCCCAGCTGCTCCCTACATGCCCAGACAGAAGCTCATGGAAGCTGCTTTTCGTTTGGAGTTTCTTCTGTAGGGAGAAAGTGCAGGCCTAGTCTGCAGTGTGGGAGGAAGGAAAGGAGGGCTGAACTGGTCCCATTCCTCTGGGTAGGAGATGTCAAAAGGAAACACCATCAAAAAGAGAGGAGAGGGGCTCTCTTCTGATGCTAGCTCCATTTGTACCAGCCGAGTCAAGCTGCTGGAATTGTAGAGGTGTCAGTGGGTAGAATTTTGTCTGTTGTTGTAAACACCACCATTTCCTCTGCTCATTAATATTGAATTCAGAAGAAAGGTCTGTGAAGGGCAAGGTGTCATACTGACATGACTCTGTCCTGACCTGAAGTGCTGCCTCTGTCCCTGCCTCCCTAATACTCCAACCCTGGACACCTTACATGCAGCTCTGCCAGCGTCCCTCAAATATTTAAAAAGGCTAAAATTCAGGACTAAAAAAAGATAACATGGTGGAGCCAGGCAAGAATGGAATGGGGAGAACGGGACTGAACAAATTAGGGAGAAAGGGATAAGGAGGAAGAGTGGAAAACTTTTACGAAGCCAGAGACATCACACAAATAGAAATATTGTTAAAGACTGGGGAAACTAAGCACAAGCAGCCCACAATCCCAGAGCTGCAAAGGCAAGGACAAGGGACAAGAGATGAACGCCTACTTACAATATTTTTCTCTTCTGTCTTTTCCCCATCTGCAGACTCCATGCATAATATCTCTGCTCAGCCCTGGCAGATGAAGATGGCTAATCTTACATATGACAACTTTACCAATGGCAACCGATCTGAGGTGGCCATCCAGTATCCCTCCAACCAGTACAAGACTGTGGAGCTGATATTCATTGCTACCGTAACCGGCTCTCTCAGCCTGGTCACGGTGGTGGGGAACATCCTCGTCATGCTGTCCATCAAAGTGAATCGTCAGCTTCAGACTGTGAACAACTACTTCCTCTTCAGTCTGGCCTGTGCCGATCTGATCATTGGGGTCTTCTCCATGAACCTTTACACAGTCTATATCATAAAAGGCTATTGGCCTCTGGGGGCCGTGGTGTGTGACCTTTGGCTGGCACTGGACTATGTGGTGAGCAATGCCTCTGTCATGAACCTACTCATCATTAGCTTTGACCGATACTTCTGTGTCACCAAACCCCTGACCTACCCAGCTAGGAGGACCACCAAGATGGCAGGATTGATGATTGCAGCAGCTTGGATATTGTCCTTTGTTCTCTGGGCGCCTGCTATCTTGTTCTGGCAGTTCATTGTTGGGAAGAGGACGGTCCCGGAGCGGGAATGCTACATCCAGTTCCTGTCCAACCCAGCTGTGACCTTTGGGACAGCCATTGCTGCTTTCTACCTCCCTGTGGTCATCATGACTGTACTGTACATCCATATCTCACTGGCCAGCAGGAGCAGGATAAGGAGGCATAAACCAGAGAGCAAGAAAGAGAAAAAAACCAAGCCACTCAGCTTCTTTAAGAGTCCTCTGATCAAGCAGAATAGCAGTTCTCCCAAGAAGGCGATAGAGGTGAAGGAAGAGGTAAGAAATGGGAAAGTAGATGATCAGCCCTCAGTGCAGACAGAGCCTACAGGCCAACAGGAGGAGAAGGAGACCTCTAATGAGTCCAGCACAGTCAGTATCACTCAGACCACAAAGGAAAAGCCAGTGCTGGAAATTTTGCCAGCTGGGCAAGGGCACAGCCCTGCCCACCCACGAGTTAACCCAGCTTCCAAGTGGTCTAAGATTAAGATAGTCACCAGTCAAACTGGTAGTGAATGTGTCACAGCCATTGAGATTGTCCCAGCTAAGTCAGGAGCCTCTGACCAGAACACGCTGTCAAATTCCCGGCCGGCCAACGTGGCTAGGAAGTTCGCCAGCATTGCCAGGAGTCAGGTGCGGAAGAAGCGCCAGATGGCAGCCCGGGAGAAGAAAGTCACCAGGACTATATTTGCTATCCTGTTGGCCTTCATCCTCACATGGACTCCCTACAACGTGATGGTCCTGATTAATACCTTCTGTGAGACCTGCGTACCAGAAACTGTGTGGTCCATTGGGTACTGGCTCTGTTATGTCAACAGCACCATCAATCCAGCCTGTTATGCCCTCTGCAATGCCACTTTCAAGAAAACCTTTAAGCACCTTCTCATGTGCCAGTACAGGAACATTGGCACAGCTAGGTAAGCTGGCACTCAGGGTCCACTTGGCAGAGTTATAAATATATTCTCCTTTGCCTCTTTGTTTAGAGGGTTCTCCGCTCACCACTCAGAACAATGCAGACTGTTTAAAGACTCCAGATGATGCCCTTCACCCAGTGCTAGAGAAGATCCAAGGCAGATGCTAGATGCAGCTCCTGGATCATTCTCATCCTGTGGGAGAGCCTGAAGAGCCCATAGACATTCACCAATCAAACAGCACCTGGTTTTCTGCCACAGCCCCAGATCCTAAAGAGGCAAAGCCAGAGGCAGGACATTATAAGGAGGCACCAAAATTACCTCCAACCTTTGCAGCTTGCTGCTCTTGAGATGTTGGCTAAACTAGCATCAGTTCTTGATGTCACTCTAAAACCTACATGTATTTCCTGCGGATTATGCCTGTGTGCAGGGTGAGATGTCTCTGTGCAATAAGGTGTGAGGTAAGAGCAAGTCCCTTCTTTCGCTGACTGACTATCCTGATGGCTTTACAATGCTTGTAAGTGTGGAGGGATGTCAGGAGATTTTCAGCATGCTCTTAACCTATATAACACTGAAGACAACAAGGAACACAGGTCAGCCACACAAGGTGGTTGTCCCAAGGTGTCAGCTGATTCATTTTTGGACCAGCTTGACATGGATGTGCTCATGGAAGATATTGGATCATTCAGACCCCCTCCTGGGGGCCAGGGCAGGACTCGTCCCTATCATGTCATCTCTAGCATTTTTAGAAGTCCCAAGGGGAGGAGTAGCACCCCCACATCCTTCCTTTTGGGGAGACGATGCCACAGCCTGATACAGCAGCTTGCCTGGAAGCTTTTCCTGAGCTTCAACCTCAGTATTCCTCTGCGAGTTCCATCCCCATCCTCGCCGGAGGCATGGAACGAGACTCTTGTGTCTAGCAGATAAGGGTAAAACCCCAGTGTCGCCCTAAGAAACACCAGAACCTAATACTGCGCAGGGGAAAAAGTGTCAGCGCGAGATAGTTCTTTCTGCAGCCCTGAGGGAATGTGACCTCTGAGAACCATGTGGCAATGTTAAAAATAACTGTCCTTGGGGGAACAGGGAGCTGATGCCCTGCTCAGAGTACAGTGGTGTGCAGAGAGCAGTCTGGAGATGGGTAAGGCTCTGCTGCTGGAGCTGAGGATGACCTTGAAGGGAGTGACAAACTGACCCTATAGCTCCCTACAAGGCTGGGGCTCCTGCAAGGTCCACAGGGCCAGAGAGTGTGCTCCCCTGACTCCCAGTGGGTGGGGGAGGGACATTTCACCCACTGGTCTCTGGACTCCGGCTGTAAGTTCCCAGAGTGTGGGTTCTGGAGGAGCGGGGAGGGAGGAATGACATCCTGGACCTCCCCACTAGCTCCAGCTTCAGGTGCAGGCCAGAGCCTAGGGGTGTGATAAAGCTGCTGAGCTTTGTAAATGGGTGTAACTCTCTTGTCAGTGTTGTTATGGAGTCCTCAGCATGTGGGGTTCATTGTAAATGTGCAGCCCAAACCCCAGCATAGTTGTATATACAGACCAACCCAATTAATGCCATTGCTCAGCTTCTCCCAAAGTCACGCATCCTAAGCACCACTCTGGCACAGGTAGGCACAGCTGTGGCAGGTGCAGATCATGGCCTAGGCTGATGAGGGGCAGGGATGATCCCTGCAGTCATCTCCATAGAGAGCTGGGAAGGGTCACTCTCTGCACGTGGCATCCCCATGTCCGTCCCAGGGGATGCTGTGCAACTGAGACAAGGGCTGCTCCTTAGCCCTGCTATGGCATCAGCCTCACTGCCACTGCCTTTAGGATAATTTGCATAGTGTTACCCAAATGCCTTGCATTTTTTAATTATTACAATTACAGTGGAACCCACTTCAATGAATAAAGGAACCAAATGAGAAGCCAAGGGCCTTCCAGTGGTTAACTCATTCCCACAGACCTGGCTCCAGAGTCCATCCTCTGCATGCACCCTGTGTCAGGGGTCACTGCCTAGGTGACCACTAGCCTCTCTGGCAAAGCCTGCAACAAGCAGCTGCTGCTGCTGCTGGGTGTTTATGAAACCCTGGCAGAGACGATGTGCTTCCCTGACTTGGGGGGCAGCCATGGGCAGGGAGCTCTGGTACAGGGGGCTCAGCAGGCATTCATGCTGAAGGAGGGTATGGCTACAAAACCTGGATGCTATGGAGAAGGCTTTACCTTTTGCCCCAGCACCCACTGGCTGGAACAGACTTGTCTTACCCTAGTGTTTTCTCTTGCCCTCTATAGCACCCCGTGCTGGCTGATAGAGACTGGTAGCTGTGTTATATTACACCCCTTGGTGGTGAGGACACAGCTGGCCTTTCCCACCTTTCTGCTCCCTGCAGTTCCTCCACTGGCTCCTCCTTAAACACTCTCCCCTTCATGGCACCACCAGTGTTTACACTTCTGATCCAGCCAGTCCCAGCCAAGAGATCAGGGCCAGTCATCCCCATAGCAAGCATCACCTGCAAGCCCAGTTCAGTGCCCTGGTCCCAGCTGGACTGAGTGAGCAGGGAAGCAGATCCCCTGAGGCCACAGGCCCCACCTATGCCAGCTCTTAAATGCCAGACCCAGTCCAGTCTCCTTGTTTAGGCAAAAGTGAAAATTCTTGCTCCTGACTGTCCATGTGCTTCTTTGCTGGCTTCCTGGCTTGCTTCCTGGCTGTGACTGGTTTCTGATCCTGGTAAGACCCTTAATATCTCCTGATTCTAGTTCTCTGCTTTGATTCTGGCTCTACCTTTGGCTTTGGCTTTCAGCTTCTAACCCTAGGTAACCCTTGGCTTGCCTTGTCTCCAGCTTCAGCTTCTGAGCCTGACCTGTCCTGACTTTGGCTACAGCTTCCAAGTCTAGTTCTGATGCTAGACTCTTGTGGACTCCCAGCTCCCTGGGAGCTGATTTGGACTGCACCCATATTTCAGGTGTCCAAGCACTAGACCAAACCACCTATGCCATGGTGCATAGCAACTCCTTGGTGCTGCTTCACACTCATTTGAGGAAGGCTTTGCATTTGGATTCTGGTTGGAGTCCCAGTATTCTTCACCTGGGTGTAACTGTTGGCTGGATGGCTCACCTGGGAAAGGGATAAGCTGCTTCAAGGCAAATGAAAGCAAGATGCTCCAGTTCTGTATGACCTCTCCTGTTTGTTTCAGGGGCTTGAGAGCAGGATTCTTCTGGAGTATTATAGTCTCAGAACCTGGGCCATGCAGGCCTGGGCTCAGAGACACAAAAAGGATCCCATGGCATAGAGCAGGGCTTGCAGGTAGGGGAAGAAACGGGGGAGGGTTGGCTGAGGAATAGCAACTATTCTGTCTGCTCTGGATAGAAGCTGTTCTGCTCAGTCTGTGCCTAAGAGGCTTTTCATTGCTCTTGGTCTGGCTTCAGACATTCCTGTTGTGTGCTGGTCTGGTAACAATTACCTTGCATTAGCTGAGGCATTCCAGAGTGCTCAGGAGCCCAGGGCTGGGCTGCTCTCCCTGGAAGGGGAGGGTGGCTTTGGGGAGGGCCTTGGGCAGCTTCAAGAAAATTCTGGGAGTGCCTTTGAGGCTTTGCTGTCTAGAGTTACTGGGCACGCTGCCTGCCCTCAGCCTTAACCGCATGGGGGCCATTAGTTTGGCCTAGGACTAGAGGCTCCAGTGAACACTGTCTGATTGCCCATGTTGCCTGCCAGGGGCACAGTAATTGCTACCAGACCCATGCAGGGCTGGCATTGTGGAGAAGCTGCGGGGCAGAGTTCAAAAACGTGCTACTGAGAAGGGAACTTTCTCTGTTACAGTTCCCAGCTGTGCATTGGTGCCAGCATCTCTCCTGCTCCCCCCACACTGGCTTTCCTCACCTACTTCTCTTGCTGCCTTGCTGTACAGTGGTGTTTAGGGAAGCAAAAGCAGAGAGAATAACAGAACGACCCTGGGGGAGCAGGCTTCCCTCCACTCCTTCTGAGGGAGCAGGGGCTAGAGGCAGCTCTGGGAACAGCTGGAAGATGCTGGTAGCATCTAGCTCACCTGCCCCCTCAGGTAAGTGCCAATACAGCATCGGGATTCTGCCAAGGGACAGGCTGGCAGCTTGCTGGGCATCTGAAGGGGACATTTAACTGACATGGAGAAGAGGTGGCAGCCTTCTTTCCTAGGTCTTGCAGGTCTCAACCTGCTATGGGGCCAAAGGGACCACAGAGTCTGTAAGGCTGTCCAGACGCTCCTTCTGCCTTGTGCCCTTCTCTCAAGCAGCTGTGCTGGGCCCTTGCCTAAGCAGGACTCTCTGCCTTATCAGGTGGGGGCCAACATCGAATTCCCCAGGGGCATTCCTGTTCTCCCAGGAGCTTTGTAGCCACTTGAAATTTCCTCAGGAGCTGACATACTCTCATTATTCTGTTGTTGGTGACCCAGCTCCCTGATGGTCCTCACCCAGCCTCAAGTCCTGCAGGACAGAATCACCACAGCAGGGTCTCACTCAACTAGACTTGGAAGCTGTGGCTTTCTGCATCCACTGGACCAAACTGGACCCTGGTTTTCCAGTCACTTCCTTTAAGGTGTTGTTTTTTCCAGTCTGGTTGGGAGTGAAGGCCGGAATAGCTGTGGCTTCCCCACGGTGTGGCCCCACACCCCTGCTCACTGCAGTCTCTGGCTATGAGGTATTGCCTAATGCAGGGAATGGCATTTTTTCCAATGCCAGGCCAGAGTTCCCATCTACATGAGACTCCCAGTGCCTGTGGAAGCCTGGGCCTGAGCAATGGTGGGCTTCCCCACAGGCAGTGGTTTTGTCCCCACATCTACGGCATCTCCAGTGCCAGAACTGAAGTACACAGGCCTAGGAAGATGGGACACCAGTACTGGAAACCAGCCAAGTTGCAGAGTAGAGGCAAAGGAAAAGCAGGTCAATTCCCATGTACCTATGGGAAAACAGACTTCATCCTGGACCTTCTTCCCCAACCAGCTCCAGCTGGCAGAGCCAGCAGCAGTCTGCACACTTCTATCCTTTGCACACAGCTTAGACAGCACTTGTCCACATGCATCTTCGGGCACATGCCTGGTGGTGGGGTAAGAGGTGTGCTCTGATATTGAACCAAGCCAGGAAGCAGCTTCTTCAATACAAAACCCTTGGTGGCACACAGCAACCTCTTCCCCAAGGCTACCTCCCTTGGCGATTCCCTACTTTTGGTGCCTGCCCCTGGCACAGCTTTACTTTCTCATAGGAATTTGGACCAAGATCCAGGGATGCATTTTAGAAGCCTAAACATTTGGATTGAGGTGGAATTAGACAGCCAAGTCTAAAAATATGATCCAGAAACTCCTGCTGCAGCTGCCACAAAACCTGTTAAGTGCTTATATTCACTTGGTGCCTAGATCTTGGACCACAAATTTCCCTGGGACCTAAACCTAAGCTTCCAGTCTCAGGAACTGGCTACCTAACTCCCTTTTAAGCCTTCTTCCAATCCAGATGGAAAGCAGAGTAGTGCCTAAAGTCCTGGCCAAACTGGCTACCCAGAGTAAGCCTCTGGGGGTACAGAGCAGTCCCTGGAATGATCTAGCAGTCACCTCATTAGAGCAGGTATGTCACAGCCTCCCCTAGCTTTCCTTCTGACCTCCAGAACAAGAGGAAGACTTGGCACTGTATTTTTTTAAAAGACTTTTATTGGAAAAGAAAAAAAACAATTTTCCCAAAGCGGTGAGGACTTGCCCAGCACCGGTGTGAGAGCATAAAGCAAGGAGAGGCTGCAGTGCTCCAACACAGACAGCTCAGAAGGAATGGGAAGAGAAAAAGGGAGAAAAGGGAAATGCCCATTAACTTGGGGGAGATTTTTTTTCCCTTGGTTGCTGCAGGAAACCCAGTCAGCTGCTGGTGGCAAGCCAGGCAGCAGGAAGGGGTCACCCTGAATGAAGAGGCCATATCTGAAAGAGATATCTTCAGAGGAACCTGGGCTGGGGGGTGAAGGAGGACTGAATGCACAGAGGACCACAGGCAGCACGCAGACGTGACCTCTTGCAAAGTCAAGGAAACCAGAAACAAGGCAGCAATGGCTCCAGGTCTTCCCATTGCATGTGAGCCCTTTGGTGAAAGTCCAGAGGTGTCGGGGCTCCTTGCATGCCCACCCCTTCCACCTGGTTTACTTGTCAAGGTTTAGTTTTTCTGTTTCCTGAAAGCACCACTGTCAATCAGATGAGTCATAAGGCTCCCAAGTTCGCCAGGGCAAGGCCAACAGCCACTTGGCTTCAAAGACAGGCCCAAAATGCAAAAGGCTCCAGCCATTACCAGCCCAGAGCACCCCACACATCACACCGAGTATCTGAGAACAAGAGCAGGACAGGACATGCCAGATAGTGGCAGAGGGAGGGTACAGGGAAAAGAGACAGCACCTCTGACAGGAAGGGGTGGATTTGCTCTCTACAAAACTAGTGATTAGAAAAGGCATCTTGGTTAAGGAGGAAGAATGGAATTTGGCAGAACATCGCCAAGCGGGGGGACCAGGCTGCAGCTCCAAGTGATGTGTCCAAACAGGTTCAGGCACCATGTCCAGGGGTTAGGGGGAAGGTCTCCTCCCCTCTAGTCCTTCCCCTTTCCTTTCCTGGCTGTTTGGAAGAAATAAAACAATAAGAGTTAGCATTTTCGGAAGCCCCACCTCCTACACACCTTGGCTTGGTATCTGAAGTGGTCAGTTCAGTGTGGCTGTGGCTCATTTGGTACCGAGCAACTGCATGACTTGGGTTTTAACTGAAGAAATTTACAGGCCAAGCACTGACAGTGAATACAGCCAGGGCTGGGGGGGCAGGAACCTTGTCCATCTGTGCTGTTGCCACGCAAGTGTCTATTTAGTGAGTTCCACACTTGCCATTCCCATGGTCCCATGCAGCATGACCTCCTGTTGGCAGCTCATCTAGACCTTTTTCCCTTCATCATAACAGGTGCCATTATATTTGCATTAAACTCAGCTGCCTTCTGAGGGTGCAAAATAGACAGAAGGACTGGAAGGGCAAGAGGAAGGGAAAAGAATGTCTAATGACTGGCTGTGATCAGGGCAAGGACTCCCCAGGCATTGAGGAGGGAAATGTCTCCTTGGTGTTCTCCTCACCAACTGTCCTGCACTCACCAGGGTAAAGCAAACACAGTTGGCTGTTCATGGTGGTAGCTGAAACTCCACTGGCATAAACGAACTGTATGGCAACTCCTCTAAATGACCAGCGATAGGTTTGGATCAGGGCCCTTCACTTTGAAGGATCCCAAGCATCTCACAAGCTTTACATGCCACACAGGATGCTGAGCAATGCAACAGCCCACTTAAAGTAGAGGAGAGGAGGGGGAAAAATCTTGGTCTGGATTTCACTAGGGACTCCCATAACCAATAGAAACTGCAGGCCTCTGGAATGCAATTCTTCAAATAGGAATGTGACTGGGAAACAGAGCCAGCAGTCTGACTCTTGTGAAAGAACCAGGGATCTTAGCAAAGGTACCTGGGCCTGGTATTTTGTTCCCTCCAAAAGATGTCCCTTGCAGCTGCAGGGTGCTTCACAACCCTGGCAGGACATTGTCTCAGCCCTGAGCCAGAGGGAAAGGCATGCCTTGTTGTATCACCAGCACCACCCAGCAGCCTGAAGGCTTTCCTTACACATGCAACCCAGATGGACCCAGCTTAGCCTGGGAGACCTACCAGGTTTGCACCACCAGGTGGGGATGGTTACTCCACAACTGTTCCTACAGTAACACAAGATAAGGACCATGGAGGGTCAGGGACTGACCTTTGGATTTTGACTTGATCTTGGGAGAGCAGGGTTTGGTCACGAGGATGGTGTCCTGGCACTGGGCATTGTACAGGGCTTTCTTCAGGGTGCCAGAGCGGGTTTTGAAGCCTGTTTGAACATTACATCCAGTCCAGTTCTCAAACTTGTACTTGCAGTCAGCTGGAAGAGAGGTGAGGCTCATTAGACAGTGCCCAAGTTAAATGCCAGCCCCCAGGAGTCCTGGGCACAGTATCTGTAGTGGCAGGCAAGCAGAATTTACTTTACTATATCAGACTGATCTGCGCTGCACTTGTGATCCCCTGGTCAGCAGCTACACTGCCTCTTCTGGTGCCCAGAGATATAAGCCCAGGTATACTGCAACACAGAATCCTAGAAAATTAGGCTTGGAAGAGACCTCAGAAGGTCATCTAGGGCAACTCCCTGCTCAAAGAAGGACCATCCCCAACTAAATCATTTCAGTCAGGGCTTTGCTGAGCCAGGCTTTAAAAACCTCCAAGGATGGAGATTCCATCACCTCTGTAGGTAACCTGTTCCAATACTTCACCACCCTCCTAGTGAGAGTTTTTCCTAATACCCAACTTAAACTTGCTTTGTTGCAGCTTGAGACCATTGCTCTTTGTTTTGTCATCTCATCTGTCACTACTGAGAATGGTTTAGCTCCATCTGTTTGCAGCCATCCTTCAGGTTGTTAAAGGCTGCTATCAGTATGGGATGCTGGCACTGCCACCTTGCACACACACACGGGAAGGTGGGTCCTGCTAGTATCTGTACAGCATGGACTCTCCTTCCAGTGGGCCCGGTACACTTCTCAGCAAACAAGCCACTCAGAAGGCCCAGTGCCCAGACAGTGAGGCACCACTATATACTGGAGGGCAAAGGCAAGCCACCCTAACATGAAGCCTTGAGGGCAGCACCAACCAGCATGGTTTCAGGGGTGGCCTGGCAGAGGGGATAGCCCAAGGTGCTCCCAGACATGACCTGCAGGAAGGGTAGCAGAGCTTCCAGCAAAGGAGAGCATAAAGCTAAGCAAAGCAAAGCTCAGCCGTGTGACACTGAGGCAAAAGGCAGGCTGTGTGGTGCCTGTTCTACTTTTCCACTATGGACCATCAGTCTGTCCAGCCTAGTGAACAATCTCCTGCTTCAGAGGACATGAGCAAGATCTCACCTAATGCAATTCACCCCCAAACATCACCAAGGCACCACCGTGACTTGCAGAACCTTTCTAGCAGGAACCTTCCCAAATAGAGACCAACATAACCCCGCAGCCAGAGTGAGTTTCCACTCATTTCACTCCCATTTCATACGGAGCTCTCTCCCAAATATTTGTGTATGACTACACACTGGCTGTGAGCACCACCCTCCTCTCCCCCCTTTTTCTAGACAACTCAGAGCTCAACAACGACAACTGCTGCTGGAGCACTAATTTGACTGGAATCTAGCCTTTCACTTCATAGCAAAGTAGGACTGGAAGGGACATTTGTAGGGCATTTAGTCCAATCCCCCCTTGTCCCACTAATCCTACGACAAACTGCTTTGCTCCCTTTGCAAAGGACAGAGCTGACCTCACAGGAAACATGCTGAAATCAGGGAACCCATAGGGCCCCCTACAGCCACTCTCGTCCTTAACAGACGTCTCAGCATGCAGTCCTGTTGTGACTGGAATAGCAGGGCCAGACCATGTTGTACTGGGACAGGTTGTCTCCACAACACAAAGGAACCATGACAACAGGCACAAGGCAGTGAAGAATCAGGCCCTGTATGGAACCTGGGTGGGCTCCTGGCAGCTGCCTCCATAGCCCTCTGAAACAGGTAACAGACATGACAGTCACAGAAGTCCTACTCATTTTGTATGGTGAGGGGAAGCTGGTGGTGCTTGGCTGTCCCCCAAGCCAGGCAATTCTTTTGGGATGAGGCCATACACGCACCTCCAAACTCTTTCTTCCAGTTGCAAGGGATCTTGCACTTGACTCTCTTGGTCTCCTCCTTGCAGGTCCCCTCACGGTAGCCTAAACCGCAGTCTTTGCTGTTAGGGACACAGGACCCCCACTGCCACTCCTCACACTCAGAGCCATTCTTCTTCACCTTGTCTGCAAGATATAGGAGGGAGAAGGCCAACACTGTGAGAATGGAGACCAGCATGGACAAGGGTCCCCCGCCTGCCCTGTTGCCACCCCAAGTAGAGGGTCAGGGCAGGGTCCCCATACCCTGAGCACCCATGAGTTTGCCCCTCACCTTTCTTGTTTTTACCAGCCTCAGAGGTTGCAGCTATGATGATCAGCACCATGACGAGGAGAAGCCCACGGACCTGCATCCTGCACAGGGGAAGGGAGAAAGACAAGAAAGAAGTCAGCAGAGAGAGGGAACCCTGTAATCTGGAGGGACAGGGGGTGGCAGGGAGGACCCAGGAGAGACATCGGGCAAGTGTGAGAAGGGGAACATGAGGCTAGTGGAAGGGAACAGAAATAAAGGTTTTACAAAATTACAGTGGTGGGGTAGGGGGGGGTGTTATCTGGGGCTGTGTGGTTTCAGGTGTGCTTGGTGGTATTAGGTTCTGGAGGTGATGAGGACAGGGATTAAGAGTGGGGCACAGGGAGGATGGGTCACTCTTCCCTGGGGTTTGAGGTGGCCCAGGGCTGAAGGTTTAATTTGCTCCGTCTTGGAATGACACACCTCCCTTTCTACTCATCCCATAGCCCTGATCAGTTGCTGTGCAAGGCAGTGTCTGGAAAATGGTGACCTGGAAACGTGTGTGTCCTGCAAGGAATAGCAGAAATGGTGACCTAAACCTTCCTTGTATTGGGACTATCTGGGCAGGGCAGGGGAGGGCAGCTGACTAAGAGGAGAACCTATTGCTATGGTCTCTCTCAGCCCTAGTGCTTGACTTGAGCCTGCCAGAGGGTGTCTAGGTCCTTCCTAGGGTGTCAAAGTAGGAGCCAATTATGATTACAGAGGTTCATGGAGGAAGGAGGAGTGTGTCCTCCTGGTTTCATAAGGAGGGGTAAATGAAGTGATCCAAGTTTAGTCATTTGGCCAGCTGTGCAGAGAGCAGGACCCTCTGCGTCCCACAAGCTCCTCCTTTACTAGGATCTTCCAACAACTTAGCCCCTTTCATCCAGATATCCTCAAAACTGAAGTAGGCAGGAGCAAGTTAGTGGGTGCCAGCAGGTGTTCCCCAACCTCCCAATCCTGTGCATCTTCCTTTGGGAATTCAGCCTGGTTGAAGTGCCACCCTCTCAACTCCCTTGACCCAGGGCAGGAGACCAGGACTGTGGCCTTTCAGGTTGCTGTAAGTATCAGCAGAAAGGGAATTCAACTCCTAAGTGAAGGGGGGTGAAGACAGGGGTGGGTGGGGAGGGGATAAATGGAAGTAAACAGGAGGATAGGGAGATCCTGCTAGCTCTGACTGTAAAACACTACTTATTCACCAAAAAGGGCAGCCCCTTCTTGCCTGAGGGAACAGCTGGGTGTTCTTGGGTGGAAAGATTTACAAACAAGAAAAGCGTTGATTTCTAGGAGGAAGGAACCCAAGAGAGAGAACAGAAGCAGCAGCCAAAGGTAATGACCACCAGCTCACATCCACCCTGTTGAGTGAGAAGGGGACTGCATGTTAACTTTTGGGAGACAGCACTGAACAAAGGTGACTGTGAGAGGATCAGTCCCAGATGAACAAGGCAGGTGCAGAGACCTCAAAGTATGACCTTAGGAATTTCTCCATAGACCAGGGCCTTCCTTGTAGCCCCTTCTCAGGCTCTATAGGCTATGTGCAACCACAGCGTACATTCAAGTTGGAGAAGAGAGCTGGGGTCTACCAGCACCACAGGCCTAATCTCTCAGTGACCCTAAGAGGGGCCCATCTCATATTTCACGGTAGGTGACTGCCAGATTAGGCCTCTCATTTCAATTTCTCTGAAGTAATCTCTCCTGAAGTGGTGGAACCCCTTTAATAAGTGTCAACAAGTGTAGAGGGCTCAGGCTGGATGTGGGAACATGAAAAGTACAATCCCCACCTCCAACTTCAAACCAGGAGCAGGCAGAAGGAGACTGGGAAAGCTGATCTGCCTGAGGGACTTGCTGCTTCTGCCCTTGGAAAGCTGGGAAGCCTCCTGACTGGCCGTTGGCAATAGCAAGGCTCTGCTCCCCATTCCCTGTCCCTGGTATTTCCCCAGGCCCTTTCTGTCCCCGTATTTCCCAGTGCCTCTTTTATCTAGTTCCCAGCAGGCTGCCTTGCCTATGCCAAAGATCCCCAAGGTTGGGCGACTACAGCTGCTATGGAACCTTTATCCGGCTCCAAAAGAATCCAGGGCGGAAAAAACCCCCTACAGCCATCAGTTTTTTTGAGGACTAAAACAGAA